CCCATGGGTACATACAAGGAGACGCCACCACCAATGGCACAGGCGCAGCCCAAGAAGGAGGAATACAAGGCAGGATTTATCCTCTATTCACATATTCTAGAACTAATGTTTCAATTTATACAGCCGTTAGACGGACCTGCCCTTCGCCGGGTGATTGTTTCTACAATGCTACAGAACTCGATCAAAGCTCGGAATCCTCCAGGTAGGTCGTTTATACTTGCGTCGATGCCTGTGTTTGAAGGGTTCCAGTGTCAGTGACACATGCGGACTTCGACTCCGTACTCGCGGATTATCTTCCGTCGAAGCCTACCCCCCAACCAAAATCCCCTTCCATCCCACCTCCGCCGAAAGCTACGAATTGGCTGGACGGGTTGATTTGAAGGTCCTTAGCTTGTACTTGACGGGAATGGAGTCCTTCTCTACAGACCACTGGAAAAGGCTGGTCGACTTCTCTGGGGCAATTGTGCATCAATCCCAGAACTTATTTAAAGCAGCGCTAATACATAGATATATCGAACGGGGATTGTACATGGAGTGCAGAGCGAGACCAGAGAGTTCACCGAGAGTTCACAGCGCTCGACTGACTACCCCAGAAGTCGTTCAGGTCGGCCATGAGCGACCATCCCCTTCTTGAATATCGCGGATGACGCCTTGCTGCATATGGACGTACTGTATAATTCCACCGAGCGGCGGCTGGACACGGTGGTCTGGCCAGTCCGGTCCTCCCTCGTATACCAAGTGGAAGCTCGGCTCAAAGCCCTCGCAGATCTGGGTGTCCTCGTCCGCGAAGGTCTCGGTCTTGGCGGCGCTCGAGCTTTGTGGTCCCCAGCAAGTTCTCTGTTAAGACATTTTGTCGAGCTGATCATTGATTTGAGCTTGGTTGCTATGAGCTTCTCTGGAACAAGCCCAACCAAAGGCGCAAGAGCAGATATCCATTTTAGAGTGAACTCGCGGATTCCCTTCGTCAGGCAAAATCACGGCGCGGGACGCTCCAGAGCGTGATATCACAATTTAAAACGGCTCCAGTAAGTTGTGAGAGGGAAATCGCAGAGATGTTTCGTGTGCACATATGGAGGCACTTTTGACACACACAACTCACTGGCTTTGTGCGGCAATTTGAGCTGCACTACCGCGTAAACACTCAACGCACTCAAGTTTTGTTCGCAATCAGTGTCACATGACCGCGTTCTCTGTGCGTATTTTGAAATTGACCACCACCATCTTCCAAGCTCCTGCCCAAAATTCTGGCCAATGCTGGCGCAGGTTTTAGCCATGCGACTGGCTTGGTTTCCGGAGCCGACGAATGGATCAGTTCCAAACTGATGCCTATCTTTCTCTGAGATTTTGAGTCATCATCTTCGACGACTTTCCGTCTGAACTTGGTTCCAAGACTGGTTGACGCTTTCCACCACTCTGGTCAAACGTCCAAGAACTCATCCCTTGAAATGGATACCATTCAATCTAAAATTCCACTCGACCAGCGCAAAATGCAAGTGCAGCAGATTTTGCAAGACAGCCTTGGAATTAGTGTGCGTGATACTCGGCTGGGTCTTCCCCGTTTCCTGATATCGACCAGGTAACCTCCTCAGATATCGTGCCCATAAATAGAGGGTACAATAATCGCTTGTACACCGTTAAGATTGAGGGCATCTCAAGCAAACCAGGCAATGGTCAACCGGGCACGATTTCCTTGTCCGCCAGACATCCGCACAGTCTAGTTGTCCGCCTTCTGAAGACGGAGCTCGGGGCTCTTCCGGAGAGAGTACAGAATGAAGTCGCGGGACTGGCACTTGTACGCCAATATTTGGTATCTGTCGTCCGTGTCCCGGACGTTTATGCCTGGAGCGAGGGCCGCGGACCGGAAGAGAATCCCTTCATTATCATGGAACTACTCCCAGGTTGTGTTTTACAAATTTGCGGAGCTTCAAGCTTACAGGACTGTCGATAGGAATACCTCTCGATACCGTATGGCCTTCTTTGGATCTTCCTTCCCGTCTCCCAATTTTGAGTCAAATCGCAAATGTTCTGCTGGCCCTGCGGTCTATCCCAATCCCTGTTCCATCTACGCCGTCGACTTTTGCGTTTGGTGGCTTGACTTTCTCCGCCTCGGGCAAAATCACCACTGCAATACATCCCAACGCGATTGGCGGGCCGTTCAGAACTGCGGAGGACCAATGGCTCTCTATGCTTTCTAATCAGCTTCGAGTCGCCGACAAGAACGCCTTCATAAAAGGCTGGAAGGGCACACAACAAACGGACCTTCGAAGTCGATTAGATTCGTTCATTCAACAAGACAACGGATTCAAGGCTATCCTTCGCCAAGTTGCTGAAGAACCTATCTTCGTCCATGGCGATTTCAGTGCGTCAACGGACTATCAAGTTACCTGGTCTAATCTCTTGGGCATGACAGAATGTCAAAATCTTCTCATCGATCCTGAAACACACCGAATCACCGGCCTGCTTGATTTCGAGTTTGCTCGCATAGGCACCTCTCCGGAAGAGGTCATGGACGGCATGGAAGACTTCAGGACGCACACTTGCGTCCAACCGGCTCCAGATGGCTTGGATATCCACCTCCTCGAGAGCAATGGATGGCCCTGTGAAATCTCAGGACCGACAAGTCTGGCATGCCAGACCGCCAAAGCATGGAAGGAGCTTGTTCAACTTCCGCCGCGCTACGAAGCAACCGCCGAAGCGTACTCGTTCCTTGAACAAGTTTGCCCGTAAGTCGTTTATCATTTACGAACGAGCTTGATTCATAACGCTGTTTTCAAGCTGGTACTTTTGCCAGGAGCCGTGGTGCAATGCGCACGACATGGTACGGGAGATGCAGATTGTTGAAAGCTCCCTGAGTGGAACCCTCGTGGGCTGGGGATTCTGATAATTCGACTCTGTACGTGCGATGTGACTTCAATCACAGCTCTGCAATGAGCGCGGAGTAACCAATGTCTGCCAGTGATTCATCGCAGTGTCGACAGTATTAAATGGCCATTCCGGCAAAATCTCAGTCTGAGTACATAATGTGTTTCGCCAGTCCCAAGAACACAAGACAATCCGAGTCAAATCAGTTACCCAAGCAAATCGTGGTCCTTCCTGTTCGCCCATTGTGACCACTGTTTTCGATCCGACTTGAACTTGCCCCACAGCTTCGCAGGAATCAGCAAGGATGAAGCCGCATGGGGAAGGAACCCGGCTCACATATTCAATGTAATTCTCTTCCTTCATAGCCTCTAGCAGAGCATTCGGGTCATTCGCGAGCTCTTCGTCGCCATCGCACAAGCTCTTGATCTTCTCCCTGACCCGCAAGGCCACACTGTACATATAGTGACGCGCTTCGTGACTATAATGTTCATCAGTGTATGTTTTTTGGACCATTCTCGAAATACGAACTAGGCCAGCGCGCGGTTGAAACACCGTCGCCCGATGATGAGCTCGAAGCGAGGCGGGTACGGCAGGTTCCGAGCTTCTGCGTTATTCTCAAATTGCGTGGCTTTTCCGTACTTGATTTTCTTCTCCGGGAGGTCCTAGCGGAGCATGAGTATAGGGCGGCACGGCCGACCAGGAACATATATCTACCTCGAACGTGTTGTGGTCGTAGATGCCTTTGCGCGTAGAGATCGTGTACGCCCCGCCGAGATCGCACGCGTACATCCCTCGCGTCCAGCACGCGTGGCAATCGCCGGTGCCTTCGCAAGAAAGGCCGTCGTCGAGGATAGGGCGCAGATTCAGCGTAGCGATGAACGGCGCCTTCCACGTCGAAAGCATCATCGAGTCCGCGAGGGGATCGATGTGTCGCCGCAGAGCATTGACCGCAGTGTCGAAATACGCCTCTTAAATAGACGGATGAGAGGAGATCGAAGCAAGCAGGTATACACGTACTTTCGTCCTCCGTCGCGGTAGAGAGATAATCAGGATCGGAATGGAGCGCGATGATGTACTCGACGAAGACTGCGAAATGCTCGTCCAGTTGGCGGCTGGAATAGCGCATGCGGTTGAGTTCAGCGTTTGCATCGGCGTCAACATCCCCCTCGCCCTCGTCCTCGTCCACGATGAACGTGTCCTCCGCCCCTTCAACATCAGCGGACGCTTCTCCTTCATCTTCGTCATCCTCCTCCGCCTCAGAGAACGGTGTGAACTCTCTCTCTTCCTCTTCCTCGTCACTTGCGTCTTCTGGGACGGGTGCGGGCGATGACTTGTTCTTCCGCGCCTTCGCGTAACGCTGAAGCGCGGTAGATTTGAGTTGTTTCTTAGTCGGCTTCGAAGAGCTCGGCTGAACGGGAACTGGGAAAATGAGGTGAGATTGAAAGTCATGGAGAATAAAATCCACATACGCGCGAGGTCCTCCGGATCGTCGTCAGAATCCAGTAGCGGCGACTCCTTGACGCCATCCGACTTGCGGCGCAACCTCCCTCGTCGTGGAGAATCCGCTAGAGAGTCGCTCTCTGCATCCACAGGCGAAGACGGCTTGACGCGTCGCAGTCTTCTCGGCGCCTCGTCTTGCGCCTCGTCCGAATCCGACTGAACCTCGACCTTCCGCCGTATCCTCCGCTTGCGAGAAGATACAACCGCGTCCGACGCGTCTTCAGCTTCATCAGAGCTCGGGCCATCCTGGGTTACTGGGGGTGGAGTAGGCGATTTTACGCGCCGCGTCTTCTTTTTCGGAGACTTGGTCCGTTGGTCCGCTATCGCGGGCTTGGGTTTCCTCCCCTTGCGCACGACGACTTCCGGCTCGGAATCCTGCACGTCGATGATCGGAATTGTTGTCTGCTTTGCGACGCGACGCGCCCGTTTCTTCGGCGGGGGCGGGCCATCCGTCGGATCGCGAGTCGGAGCTTCTGCATCTGCGCCTACGCGCTTGCGTTTTGTGCGGGCCACTGGCATGAGAGCGAAGATGTGATTTGCAAAAGTCGCACGCTACTTGCGTGAGGCGTGGTGGCACTCTCAACATCACCACTATGTGCACATATTTATTGTGGCTTTCCTTATTTGTCATCGATAACTCCCTCTTAGCTCAGTTGGTAGAGCGCGTCACTAGTATCCCTATTCAGACAGTTACTTTATGACGAGGTCAGTCGTTCAAATCGGCTAGCGGGAATCATTTTGCACCTCACCCCCACGATCTCTTCTTCTCTCGCATTTTTGGTGTGCGGGGATTCCCGTGGGTGAGCGCGCTGGGTTCAGCGGGGCGCGAATCCTCCGCGCCTTTCCCTTCAGGATTCAACGATGCGTATGACCGGCCCGCGAATCATTTTGCGTTCGATGGCACGCTGCACAGCCATTCAGGGAGTTAAGATAATAGTTAATTTAGATAAAGACAATGTGCAGAGGTACGATACTCAGAGGTTGAGGGTGGATACATGATCAAATGTTAATGTAAGGTTGCGATGTGGATATATTGATGCAGAGGGTTCAATTCAGAGACATGAAAAGTGTACGGTAGAGTATGTAGACCAAAGAAAGATAAAAGAGAGTTGACACTTTGAGAAAAAGAAGAGAAAAAGACGAGACACTGCGACCCAAAAAAACGACGGCAGCGCGTAAATGTACATACAGAGAAAACCAATGATGGAGCGACGTAAGACCCGTGATAATGATAATAAACGGCCAAAGGCAAACGGCGGAGGTAGGATATGTTGGTGGTGATAGGGGATGGCTGTCAACGGTATCGTCAGTATACGTTCCTCATTCACGAAGAAAAAAAACAACGCACACTAAAACGAATATACAATACTTCATGGATGGATGTTGGATGATTGGTGGTTGGTTGGTTGGTTGGTTGGTGACGATAATTGAATGGAATGATATGGGGTGCTTTGCTTCAAGAAAGCTGGTATGTATGGTATCGGTATCTTGCGCGGCGGCAGTGTCGAGCGTCGCGTCTTGAGCATTCGACCCGGGGCGGACGCGACAGGGTCTTCGTGAATCGTACGCGCAGCGTCCCCGCGAATTTTAGAAAGTAGTAATGTATGCAGAGCTGGTGGGAGGTGGGGAGGTGGCGGGAGGGGCGATGCGGACGGGCGGGAGATGGGGGCGGGCGCCTAGACGTCGTTCCTCCTGTTCGTCCCCGTCATCTTGTCCTGGCCGTGAAGGTCCGTCCGTCCGTCCAGTCGCGCACGAGGCCCCGAAGATGATCAGGAGCGGGGATGAGGACGGCAGGGCGGAGGTGTGGAAGTTTGGGCGAAAATCGACAGCGAACGAAAGCAGAGCGGGGCGGGGCAGATAGATAGACAAGGGGGTGGGCGGCTTCAGCCTTCCCCGACCCGAGCGGACGACAACGAGGCGAACCTGCGCCGTTATTCCTTATGCCGACTGATCTTCTCCACCCCCGCACTCAGCGCCGTCGCCCGTTTCTCTTCCTCCTCATCCTCATCGTCGTCGTCGTCTTCGTCCTCCTCATCCTCCTCCTCGCCCTCTCCTCGCCCTCCCTCCTTCTTCTCTTTAATCTTCTCCCCCACCTGCTCATCATCGTCTTCGTCATCCGACTCCGAATCCGAGTCCGACGACGACCCAGACCTCGACGACGCATTCGACGCGCTGACGACAATGGCCGGCGCCTCCCCCGGCGCCCCCGGCCCACCTCCATTGATATGCGTCGCCGACGCGCTCCTTGAGTGCGAATGCGAGTGCGAGTGGTGGTGCCCCCGGAAATGCGCAGGCAGGTTCACCGCGCGCAGCACGTGTTCCTCTCCACCCGCGCCCGGTGTGGAGGGCATAGAGGCGCTGGGCAGGGCGGGGGAGGCGAGCGGGGATGCGGCGGCCGAAGGCGGGAGCGATGTGGGCGGGGAGGTCGGATGTGCGGGCACAGGCGCGGACGGGGGCGCAGGCGAATCGGCAGTAGGCGTCGGCGTCCCACTGCCAATCTCCCGCTCCTTGTCTTCTCTGTCCTTGCTCTCCGCCATCTTCGCCTCCCCATCGGCCGCCTTCGCATCCGTCCCCCCATCCCCCTCGCCCTCCTCCCCTTTCTCCGCGTTCCCCTTCTTCTCCCCACTCTCGCCCTCCTTTTCATCCCCCGCATTCTCCTTCTCCTTCTCCGCCGCCTCCCTCGCCTCCCTCTCCGCCTTCTCCCGCTCCCTCGCCTCCCGTCGTCTCCTCACCCACCCCATCCCGCTCCCATCATCGTCGTCGTCCGCGCCTGTCGAAGACACAACACCCATCCCCACCGCCACAGTCGCGTTGCCGTTCCCGTTCGTGGTCGCGGGGCTGGCGCTGGATTTTGGGCCTCCGCCCTGCACGCCCTTCCACGCGGCGTTCCCATTGCGCACGCTGCCCATCCCGCCGTACCCCCACTCGACGAATTCGGGCTCGTCGTCGCGAGCGTTGCCGAAGGGGTTGTGTGTGCCTGGGTGAGTGGGTTAGTATTTTGTTTGTTTGGATTTAGGATTTTGGATGGTGGGTGGTATCGAAGATGAAATGTTTTTGAAAAAAAAGCAAAAAAAGAGGGGAAGGTTATCAGAACAAAGGGATGGGAAAAGGGAAAGAGATGTAAAGCAGCATGGCGTGTTCATGTTCCACAACACACGCATGTATGTGAGACAGTCATGGCCGGACCATCCTTCCCTCGTTTGCGCGAGTCTCCGCCACAAAACGGGATACAAAGAAACAAGACGACGGGACGAACACCGCGCGCCCGGAGAATCGCCCCGAAGACCTGCCGTCGCTCCACATAGATCAAGATGAAAGACAAAGAGAAGAGCGCTCGGCGACCAACAAATGCCCCGAGGTGTGGCAGCCCAAAGTACGGGCTACGGACCAGGGTGTGGTCATGCGACCGCGCCTTGCCTTGTCCGTGCTCCGTTCCCCGTAGTCAAAGATGAGTGACGAGTACCGCACATAAGGCAATACCACGGGATGCGCGGGGGGTAACGCGGAGATGAACGCGGGCAGGCGAGGATCGAGGAGCAGGAGCCAGACGAGGAAGCGAGGCTGCTCATCGGGCAGGAAAGGCAAGGCAAGGAAGGGCGCAGCCAAGACGTAAGAAAGCAAGAGCCGCAGAATGGGAATGGAAGGGTGGTGTGAGCAGGACGGGGACGGCGTTGTCGAATAAAACGAATAAAACAAGTCAAAGAGAGAAAGCTCACCATTCGCATTGCGCGAGCCATACACGCGCCCATTGAGCATGCGCGTCCCGCGCTTCCCGCCGAGCGAGTTTGCGAAGGGGTTCAAAGGCGGGGGGACGCTGCCGCTCTTCTTGGCCTTTGCGTCCGCGTCCTTGGGCTTGCCGAAGAGGGACCGGCCGCGCTTGGTGGGGGTGCTGGTGCTGGCGGTGCTGGTCTGGCTCTGTGAGCGCGCGAGCGGGGAGCCGGTGGTGGACGCGGAGGAGCCCCAGCGCGCGAGGGACGCGCCCCAGGTGGAGTGGTCGGGCGTGGGCTCGAGGGAGGGCGTCGGGGTGAGGCTGTCGGTGGAGGAGGCGGGGGTGAGGAGGCCGCCGCGGCGGAAGGGGCGCAGGAAGCCGCGGGGCTTGGGCCAGGTGTTGGACTTGTGCTGCGGGGCATGGTAGGACGACGGCGGGTTTGCGGCGGGGAGCGGCAGAGACGCGGGGGCAGCCGGGGATGCGTACGGGGACGGCGGAAGTGCCGGGGCGGGGGATGGCGGGGGCAGGTAGGGGCTGGTACACTGCTCGGGATCGTCTTGCTCGTCGTCGGATGTGGCCGCGCGGGGGTCGGGTAGGGGTGCGAAGCGGATGCGGCGGGGGTGGGGCTTGTGCATTGTGGGTGTGTTAGCGTGGCTGTCGCTGGTGTGCGACGACGTGCTCGACGACGCGGAGCTCGAGGAGGCGCTGCTGGCCGATGAGCTGAGGCTGTTGGTGGATGGCTGGCTGGGCAGCAGGATGGAGGGCGGGGGCGGGGCCAAGAGCGACATGGTCGACGGCGGGACCAAGCTGGAATGGAATATCAAAAAAAGCAATCAAAGACACAGAAACGAACGGGGCTGTCCGGTGTCTGCCAAGTAAATCATCCCGGCTTTCATTTCGAGTCTCCCTTATCAGTCCCGTCTCTCCGCCGTAACGCCTGTGGCTGGAACAGCGTCCGGGCCCATCCGCCGTAATTTCCATATCCACGTTCGAAAACATAAAGCGCCTCCCAAAGGAAATCCGATTCTCTCGCATCCGAGTTGGGCGTTTACTGTATATACCCTACGCCCTGCCTGCTGTTCGTGTGCTGTTCTCTTGAGCAATGAGAGCAATAAAATGAACACTTTATGAACCCCCTGTTGAGCTGTTGTCAAGCCACCCTGCTACCGCCAGGCCCCGTGCCCAGTCCCGCAGCGCCGTAAAATGAACATTCTCGCCCCTCGCCAAATCCAATTCAACCGGTCTCTTCTCTTCCTCCCTTCTATGACTACCCAACCCACCTCGACCGCATCTTCAGACCGCAACCACAGCGCACAATGGATCCAGTTGAACTGAGACATACCGGAACTTCCCACCATCTTGCCCTCGGCATCAAAAATCTCGACCCACATCCGGCCACGCGCCACGCCATTGGCTACCTGATCGAAACACCTGCCTGCCATCAGCCCGCCCCGGCGTTCTCCGACGCGCTCGTGACCCCGCCGCACCTCCTCTCATGCATGACCCTGCACTGACGCGCTGAAACACCACCCTGTATTGCCCCACACACTGGAACCGCGAGAACGAACGGCAACGGATGAGCCAAAGGTGGAGCGGGAACCGGGAGGACGAACGTTTGCAACCGTGAGAGACCCGCGGCGGACCGACCTTGACTCCCGGCGTTATGCCAATCGCGAAAAAAAAGGTGGCGGACATTGAGATCAGCGGTGATCCACCGGAGTGACTCATAGACTGCCGTCGAACGCGCGTCCAGGCGTCGACGGTGCTTACTCCGCGTATGTATTCCGTCCGCAAACGCGACTTTGCTTATACTTACTGTACTCACAGTGGTACTTGCTTACGCCCCGCGGCCCGCCCGCAGTACGGTCAGTCCTTGCAAGCTAATACTTCGTTACTGTGCGATATACCTCCGTGCGCAATGCCATGGAATTATCACCCATCTTCATCTTCATCAACGGAATCAAGACCATGGCCAGGCACCTCCGTGTTTTTCTCCTCCGTGTTGCCTCCGTCTGTTTTTTCTGTTTCTGTTTCTGATCCCCCGTTCCCGTCTTCCCGTCGGCGGCGTAGTGTCCTCCACCGGCGGCGTCGCGTTCTGCAATGTGCCCGAGTCCGGCGCTGGTCATGAGGGCAAAGGGCAACAACAATAAAGAACGTGCGCGCCCACTCGCGCCCACTCGTGCCCACAAAACCCACAAACGAATGATCCACATGTTTATTTCCCTCGAAGACCCGGGACAGCCGTCGACGACTCTGAATCGGGATCAACTCAATCTCCCTTCCTTGTCTCTTTCTCGATTCGCCGCTCCGATTGTTTTCTCAACACGTTGGTAATTAACTTATGATTACCCGGACAGAGTCCTCGTTTATTCAAGCTCAACCTTTCGTTTTCAACCTTTCATTTCCACACACGTACCACATAACCGCGCCAGCTAAGCATTCGAACGTTCGCCTCCGGGAGACCCTCCTATCGCACCGTATTTGCACGGAAATCAACATCACACTCCTTTTCTCCCGCTTCCACCTCCACTGGACACGGAAATTAACAACCCTCTTATCCGTTGCTTTCCTGCCTCGCTCTGGTTTTCTGATATATTGCTCGCTCGTGGGCTGCAGGACTAATTCGTCGTTATCGGGATCTTAGGTTTCCAACAATTTCAACGGTCATCGGTCAACGCCTGCAACAATGCCAGCTCAGCGTATTCGAACGTTCGCCGGGTTTTTCTTGACATACAGTATGAACGGGAACGCGAACACGGAGATCGAATCACCGGGAATTTGGAATTTGGAATTCCTCGCTCGGTCTGATATCTGCTCGGGTTGATCGTGCATACAACAATCTTAACAATGCCAGCTCAGCGTATCCGAACGTTCGCCATTGACAATGTACATGAACGCGAACACGGAAACAAATCGCTGAAAATTTGGAACTCTCGCTCTACCCGATCGGAATAATGTTCAACTCGTAGGAGTTCGTGCATACAAAAATGGTGACGACTGCGACAATGCGCTGGCGTATATTTTCGACCGTGCCCCTTGCGCCGTCCCCTCGATCCCTCCCCCCGGCCTCGAAATCACTTCGTTGAACACGGAAATCAGATCAACTTGTTCTGTTCAGTGCTATTCCTGCTCTTCCGGTATCAGCAATGCACATCCTCCGCGGTGAAGTTCAAGATGCAACAGAATGCCTTCTGATAGCGCTGGCCAGGCTTAACAGGCAATACACTATATCCGAGCCTTTTTGCGCACGCACGAAATTTTTACATTCGCGCACACGATCACCTTCCTTTGCCGCAGGAACATATGCGTAATAATGCAACCAGGTACCACCGGTACCGTAGGCAAACGTGCGCCTTCCCTCGCCTGGAGTTTCCTCGCACCAAATTGGACTCCACACGACTACACGCAGCCGAGGGCACTGGCACCTCGTATCGATGGATACTATCACCATACAGCATACCGCATACATATCATACGCGATACAGTGCGATACGCCACGTCGATGACGGCAGAGATAGATGGCCAAGCGGCCAAGCCCGTCGACGGACGGAGACCACGGAACCAAAAAAACATAGGCAAGCTTCGAAGAGCGGGCGCTTGCTTATCTGTGGCTGGTTTCTATTTTCTGCAGCTCGATACGGGTTGATATGTCTGTTTTCGTTGGAGCTGCCAGTGCTATGTTGCTGAGTTTTCAACCTTGATAACGCCTGGTTTATTTTTTTCAGCAATGTTCAAATTATTCTGCGACGGATTTCCAACAACCGGGGACACTACTGTCCTATCCCACCATCGATTTCCGAACTGGCAGAATCCTTCCCTTTCTTTCGCAGAAAAAGAAAGCTGTTTTGTCATCCTGCAAACGTGCACCGTGTCCAGGACGCCGGGGCCAACGCGACGCCTGTGATTTACGAAAATAATTGATTCCGTGATATCGATTCCAGATAAGCAGCAGCGTCGTCAAGATGGAGGTAACGCAACCTAACGCAATGCGAACATCCACAGATCAGAAGCGCAGTCTGTTGAAGTGGATCTCCGTCAGACGGTTAATTTCCGGGATTCGAAGCACACCTTACTTACTTCAGAAAATTAGGTTCCGCTGTCAGTTCGGCTTTTTGTTCCAGGCGGCGGATCGTTCAATCGCGTGTTGAACCGTTTCGGTCTCAGCTGCTGTTCCGCTGCTGCGTTCGGCGATGCCCTTTTGGTCCAACTTGCACTGATACCTCCCGGAGAAAAATTCATGGTAAGATGGGGGTGAGTCGAAGATAACATACGCCACGCCGAGTCGAGGGTATTCAGGGTCGTCGACGAACGTGGGCCTCACAGTACGCGTACGAGGCCGGGACGCTCTACGCCACTACTTATCTATGGCGTGCTTGGTATGTTTTTGGAAGGAAGGCGGTAGCAAGTTCGGAAGTCGTCAAGAAGTTCAATGTTCAATTGGCCACGGCGCCGCCGCCACTATCACCGTGGCGTACTACTTACTTCCTCGGTTGGTTGGTTTTATTTTACTTGGTGACTCGATGGTGATTGGGTTACATGGCCAGGCTACCGCACTTGAACTTGAACTCGGGTGTGTGCAGCTACAGCTGACTCTTTTGAAATGTGTCTTGACTGATCAGGCACAGAACCTCTTCGAAGTGCAGAAAAATAGAAGCCCAATCCTCGGTTGGACCCACAACATAGGTTAACGAAACCACAAACGTGCCCTCGACAGCTCGACGACTCGAGAAAAAAAATCAACATGTTGAACCTTGACTTGGAGCAAAATGAACATCAAGTTGTCAATGCAGGCCAGTCTTGCTCGACGTCGTCGCGTGAGGAGACTCGCGCGATTGATATTCCGACACGTTCCTCAGCCGTGATTCTTTTCACCAAGGAGATAATTGTATCAAGGGGTGGGATGAATGGGTAATTTCAACCCGCCGCGGCCAGTGGCGCAGGACGTGCAATCCAATAGAGCGGAGGACGTGAATTCGAAGCAACGCCGTGAACGTGCATGATAGCGGTGGAATTTCGCCACTTCGCCAGTCTCACTGTGATTATTCTTGGTGCGATGCCGACACTCGTTGAGTCGTCAATGTAGTCCATGCTTGCACTGCAGAGCCTAGACCATGGATTTCATACTCCTTCCTGAAAATCCTACAGCGATGCCATTGTTTCATTTACGGTGCTAGCAGTTGAGCCACCACCAAGGCCATGCAATGGGATAGCATGCCCTAATCCAAGGATTTCGGCGCGCTGGGACAGTCAGTTCACCTATTCACTACGAACTTGCACAAATTTTCAACATGTGGTTGAATTTTCGGGTTGGATTTTTATGGTCGAATTTCGGCTCGCACTATGCCTCCGTTCAACTTGGCGGTAACTTGGCATTATCAAACTGAGCTAGGGGCCTTTCGTCAATTCAGGGACCCCAGCCAGATTAAATCCCCACAATCTCACCGCCTCAAATGCCTATTTCCCCCGCGGCACCGGGACCGTCAGGCGCCACCGCTTGGCACGCGCTCATCTGACACCCACATTCTCTGACAATTTGCAACTGAATATCTTTTGTGTCAGTCAACAAATTGAACAGTTGTGTCGGCGACTGCCAAGTGACGAACAATAGAGCAGATTATAATCACAATTTTACTTGCTACTGCAACCAAAGAAAGAGAGAGAAGATTCGATTAGCCTGGCATGGGTGTGATTGAATCGAACTGAGAATAGGGGCTATGAACAAATTCAATAATGAGTGTTGAATCTTGATGTTGTCCCTTCTGAACTGCGTGACTTCATGTGGAAGAGAAACTGAAAGGAGGTGCGACATCCTGAGCCTGGTTGAGGATAGAACTCGCGTACGAGCAAACTTGAATGCGGATGCAACATTCACCGTGGCCGCCGATTAGGAACCGAATACTAAGCGGGAAAATAACCGTGACGCTCAACTGGAAAAGCGAAGGCCACCTGTAGGACCGTCGATCGAGAGTTTGCGTGATGCAAACGAGTCGTGGAGCCAAATGTGGTAGAAGATCCGCGACACCGAATTCAGTTTAGTTGAATACAAGGAGTCAGTAGACAGGTGAACCACCTATCTCCGACGCTGCGTAACGCAGTTCCGAAGCAGCCCAGTGTAAATCAATGACCCAGTGCTCCTCCAGGCAGACCGGTTAATCCCGCCGTCAGTTAAGGTGGATCTGAACTGGGGAATGGAAGCTACTACCTTCCGGCAGAATGCAGACCGGCTTTCAGCTATGAGGGGGATTGTATATGGATATGATATTTATCCAATCTGCTGAGATGAAGAGGGGAAACCCGAGGAAGCCTGAGTGACGACTGCCGAACATATCCCGGCCTGTCTTAAGACCCGAAGAACTTTGCACAATAGCTCCACTGGGCCCGCGAGCTGCAGTGGAGTCGGCCATTTTAATCCACAACGTTTGCACCCATTGCTTGACATGTAACGGTAGGCTCACCTGATACTGGAGTGAGTGGGCCACCGAGCATTCATTTTCAGATTTTCGACCACGGGCCTGGCTACCGCAGTACGAAGGGGAATTGAATCAACGGGAGGATGCGTGCTTTTGGCTACCGTGGGCCCGCGGCGAGACAAGGCCTTTCATGTCACAGACGACGCTCCAGGTTCGGTGACAAGAACTGTGGCAAGTCGGCGAGTCCCAGTGAACTTGAAGAGAACCAGGTGCAAAGAGGATGAGGGGTACTTGCCTGCTAGTGTGGCAGCAGAGTCCAAGAAGCAAAAGGATTCCCGCTAGCCGATTTGAACGACTGACCTCGTCATGAACCGAAATACAGGAATGGTGATACTAGTGACGCGCTCTACCAACTGAGCTAAGAGGGAGTTGTATACAGTGGCGTAAGAGTTTTCACAGCTGGACGTGTTGTGGCATACAATGCTTGCTGGGCGACAACGAGTGAGACGAACGGGCCGAAGTGGACAGTAATCCTGGGATAAGAAGCAGGGGGCGGTGTCGCGGCGGCCGCGGGCGTGGCTTTATACGTCAGTACACTGATACCTGCCGGTTTTCAGCGTTGGGGCGACCATGCAGAAGCATTCGACGGCAGCACTGAAGAGTGAAGGGGCGGGTCAGCGCCGTTGCAGATGACAGTGTGCAAGTAGAGTTACTCACCGGAGGGCTAGGGTCAACCACTCAATCAACGACCGTCCAGCATCTAGGCAGCTGCGGTATGAGGGTTATCATCGGCGAGAGAGGTAATGTGGTGTTGGAAGCTGGAGAGCCGAGTAATGGAAGGGCTCCGGGTGATTGCGAGCGCAGCGAAGCAATTCTCGATTTGGCACGTGACCAGGGAAGGGCTGGATAGTTGGTTACCTTGCTTGTCAAGGTCTCTCCACCCTCATAATGGCACCACTTTTCGTGTAACCCGATGATCCTAATTGTTCCGAGCAATCACTTCATCAATCACTTCATCAATCAATATACACAAATTCTATACTTGGCTGGCAAAGCACTAAACGCCAAGCACTCATCATATACCGCCACCGTCCTTTCGGAAAACTATATATTTAAGTTCCCTAAGGATTCAAATTTCAACGCAGCGCAAGCAGGCACTAACCAAAGCACTGAGCAGCATTCCCAAAGCTTCCTAATGATTCAAATTTCAACGTAGCGCAAGCAGGAGCTAACCAAAGCACTGAGCAGCACTTTTCCTAAAGCTTCCTAATGATTCAAATTTCAACGCAGCGCAAGCAGGAGCTAACCAAAGCACTGAGCAGCACTTTTCCTACCAACACTTCTAGAGTAGATAGCAAGCAAGGTCTCTGCCGATGCAGTCGGCGCTTCCTAGTTACATTCCGCCTCAAACGTAAGCACCCGATATGGGCTTTTGATCGCGGCACATTCGGCCACGTTTAGGGGTGCCGATGCTGCCGGTATAGGGCAGCGCTCATGTATTTCGCTGAGTCCATAAAACTCAGTAACTCAGGTGTAAGATATGGATATAATGCGACAAAAGGAACTGCTGCTAATGCGCTGGGATATTGGCCTGATGGCGACCGACGTAGAGATCGGCGAGAGGCTGCAAAGTTTTCAATCAAGAATGATAAGTAATATGCAAAGTCATACACTGTACTATACACGTGTATTGAACGAATGTTAGAGATTAAGGCAGGGCTCAGCCGGTCGCGCAATCTCCCCCACCACCGTGCGCTTCGCCGCCGCCGACCCTCGCATCGCAATCTCCTTCTCCAACCACCCCTACACAAGCCGCAGCGACTACAGCCCGCTGCACGGGGCACGAACAGTGCGCACGACGTACGTGGATTCCACCGAGGTGGGAGCGCTGCGCGTAGGTGCAGCAGCGCGCGAGCCGCGCCAAGGGGTCCACGGGCCTGCCTTGCAGCGGACACCACACCTCGCGTGCAGGCAGCGGCGTGGGCGGGATCCTCCGCACGCGCAGCGCGCCAGTCAGCGAGCAGTAAGTTGACCGGGTACTGCGTGCCGCTGGCGCTGAAGTGGACATCAAGGACGCCGAGGCGCTTGTCGCGCAGCGCAGCGGTTGTTTGCAAGTCTACCGTCCTGTCAGCTAATGGCGGGTGGATGAGAAGGCAGGAATACCAAAGGAATACGCACCATAGCGGACATCCCCCATTCTACTCTCCAAGTCCGAGCTTCAGGTTACGGCGACACTTGTGGCAACAGGCGAGGCTGAGCAGTGTTGCTCGCGCCTATCGTTGGCAGCGAGGGACTGCACGGCAATGAGCGCGAGTGGTACGAGCGTGGCGTGGTGAGGGCCTGCTGGGCATGTGCGGGCAGGGCAAGAGACAAGGAAGAGATCAGAGAGGAGCCACAGGGTTTGGTTTGTTATCGAAAGGTGTGCGGACTGCCGAAAGTGCCGGGATCAAAAGCCCATATCGGGTGCTTACGTTTGAGGCGGAAAGTCAAAAGTGGGGCTGGATAGGGAAGCAAACAAGAACAAATTCTACGCACTGTGGCTGACAGATTTTTGCTCAAAGAACAGGCTCAAAAACGTCCAATTTTGGGTTCATTGCGATATAAACGGCACCAGCGGACGCAGTTTTCTACGCCGGTTCAGCCCATACCAAAATCATAGCGAACAGACGCCGAAAAAATGCTGTCCCAATTGGGATTGGATCAAAAAGTGTCAGCGTGATTACGCAGACTGCGCAGCGAGCTTTCCCGACACTGAGTCGGATCCTTTATACGTGCTACTGGAAAGGTGGCTTTGAGGTGGCTGACAATTTACTCTGCGGCGAACAAACAAAGCACAAGCATTCAAACACATGCGATCGATATTCACGGCGGATCACCGGGCCGCGACAGCAGAGCCTTGGCAGAGCTGGAGGGAAGCTTCGCGAGTCATGACACACGAGACAATTTGCTGAAAGGTCAGAGAATTACCCGCAGCTAAGGGAAATCGCAGCCTGTGAATATTGCGCTTATGGACCCAAGTCGTGGATCAGACGGCGCACTCTCCGCCATTCTTTGAGCTTGCCGTCCAGCCGAGGGTCCAGGGAGTTGAGAGTGAATGGGGACACCACTCGGAAAGACACAAATCAATCCGAAACATGCGACACTGAGATTCTCGGTCGGCTTGAGGTACGTGTTGATCACTTGTAAGATCCGTAACGGTAGGCCGTCCTCGCAAGTGGGTTTTACATCCAAAAGTAGTAGACGTTCCACCGTCCGCGTTCGTCGTAGCAGTAGCTCTCGATGTTGCCAGCAATCCGTGGAAGCGAAGGAGAAGGAGGGGACGTTGGTCACCTGAAGCTGCATGAAGGTCCGCTCCTTTTTTCAAGGTAACCCAAGGGGTGCAGCGAGGGAAGACCGAGGGTCGGATGACCGCTGAGTTCCTCGGAGAAAAGAAAGCCGTCGGTCCATGGGCAGTGAGTGGTGAGTGGAAGATGTTGAAGGGAGCTGACAACTTGAACGTGGGAGTTTTGGGCCTTCGGCACCCTGCTGCCGAACATCGACCAGTTACTTTCGAAAATTCGCCGAATCGCAAGCACAAGAAGTACCGTGCGCAAAGAACAAAAGCAACTATACAAAGGGGACGCCATCTACAAGTAATAGTACAAGCTCCAGCGAAGAAAAGGTACAGGTAAAGGGCAGGAATCGTACACAAGTTACTGTAAGCACTGGCAACTAATGTCAATGCGCATCTGGTGCGGTCATAGCCCGCGAAGCACGGGGTGCCTTGAACGCAGGGGCAGGAGACGTAGAACGCTGCACCGGGGCGCGATCTTTCGGTGGCACAGGGGGAGGTGAAGATGAAGATGCTACAGCCGTCGATGCCTTTCTCGAGGATTTCGAACGCTCGGGCGCACCGGACATCGACCGCGCTTCGCTCGTACGTGAAGGCGTAGACGTAGACACCGACCGGCTCAATGGCGCGGAGCTCCGCGGGCGGGGAGAAGCGGTGGTAGCACTTGCACTTGTGGAACGTGCAGAAGCTGGCGACGAGGGGGTTTGCTCGGAAGCTGGCGACGAGGGGGTTTGCTCGGAAGCATGACGACGGTTCGACGGAAGTTTCTGCGGCTTCGGCGCGGTTCCGGGGGCAGCTGGTGACGACGGCGTGGATGGGCTGGTCGTGGTCATGAAGCGCGCCGCGATGGGGAGCGGGGCGGTATGGACGTGTTCTGACGCGGTGCGCCGGCTGTGGCCTGTGTGGGACGCACTTCGTGCAGCGGAGGTGGATACGGATCGGGAGTGTCCCTTTGCTTTCGTGCTGGACGTAGGGCCACGGACAGTCGCAGAGCTGCGGGAAGCCGATGGCACACTGTCCTCCGACTGCAGGGGGCTGTGCGGCCGCGACACCAGCACCGGTTCCTCGTCACTGTCAGAACTATGATCATGGCGCCAGGGTTTACGGGTGGTGGTCAGCGATCGCCGCAGGCTCCGAAGCACGCCTGGAACGTCGGGGAATGTCGCGCGTCTTGATTTGTCGGGACTCTGCTCAAGCTCTGAGGGCAATTGCGGGTCTACAGAGACACAAGTAAGTAAGTGTTATATGCACGTAGATGTCGCAAGGTGCGGACGTACCACCTGTGACCAGGGTACGACGCGGCGCCGGACTTGTGCCTACCGGATACATGGGACCATAGTGAGAGCCTGGTTGACCTGTGTAGGTGCCAGTAGCATCGCGGAACGTATAACACCCGGTGTCCGCGTCGTATCCCGTTCTGACCATGCCCGCTGGGAGACGATAAGAATCCTGCAGACCAAGAAACCAGTCAGTGGTTTCACAACGCCGTCGAGACGAGCAAACCTCATCGTATTGCGTCCATCGTCCCATGGCGTAGTAGATAGAGAGAGAGAGGAGTAGAAAACGGGTTTAAGATGGACGGCCTCGTGTAAAGGTTGAAGCCTAAATGAGAATTTCGAGTCGTGTGCATTGTTGCAATCAGCGCCCAGTTGCGGCAAAAGAATCCAGAGCGGAAAAGGCGCTGCGAGACAGTGACTCACACTCTGCCATCTGGCATGCACCCTCGACAGGAATAAATTATTGTCGGGCGCTGGCAATCGTGTTCGGGAGTTGCAGCTCGGTTCTACTCCAATAGCCGAACCAAAAAAGATTAGTATCAGCTGGGATCCAACAAGAGCAGCCACAATCAGACTCTCAAGCCCCGCTACAATCAATTGTATAGAATGGAAAGGTGGAGGATGTCGAGAGGATGGGAACGACCGTCGGATCAAGCCTTCGCGCGGATCAAGGCGCTGCGCAGCCACCGCAAATCCTCGACCTGCCAAGTCCTCCTGCACTGTCCTGCATGCCTGCTCTCAGACGTGAGCGAAAGAATGGCCGGTCGGCAAATATTCAGCCACGGACGTCGACGAGAATCGACCGTTTTAGGCTTGAATC